CTTTTAACCTTGGAAATAATAATGGACACAAAACCCATCTTTTGCGACTGTACGTGGTTTTTAAGGTCTTCGGTATATTTAGAGGGCAGAAGCGATTTTTTCCTAGATATTAGAAAAATAAAGCCCGGTGGAAACTATGGGGAATAAATTGTTGTCAAACTGACACTGTCACTGTGCTTTTCTATTTGTGAGCAAAGACGAAAAATAATCTTAGAAATGGGGATATTAAATCATTAGAGAGCTTTAGTTACTCGAATACTGCTTACGTGTACGTGTAAAAACTTTATGCGTTTATTTGATACTTAATCATATCTTAAAAATTAAGATATTTTATATATCTTTTTAAAATTCAAATGATGAATCAAAGAATTCAATTCTGGTAAATAGGGCATTCCCCACAGACACTTGCTTCGTATACACTGGACAAAATTGCTAACGCACCACCAAATGACAGTTATATTTTACTTTTCAATATTTGTTTAAGATGTATTTGATATATAATTATGAAGCATAATCAAAAAATAAATCATTTAAATGTCTTTATTAATAAATAACTACAATGTTAACCGAAGCGTGACAATTTATTTGAAAACGTGAAAAAGTTATCAAAACTAATTTGGAGGGATAAATTTCTAACTTTTTCTTTTCATTTTTGTTCTTTATGATGGTACTAATTAGAAAATCAGAAAAAAATTATACCGTATGCGGCATTTTAATCCAAGAAGAGCGTGATAAAACAGAGAGTATGGTGTCTGCAGGGGGCTCCTTTGGAAAGATTTGAAAAAAATTAAACAATGATACTAACATTTATTCTTCTAGTGAAAGAATGTTGCAAATAGATTAGTAAACATAAAAATGTTCACTCTAGACAGCCAAGCCATTAAGTAAACACTTCACCACGATTTCAATGTCGTTCCACAAAATTGGGGCAACCGGAAGTTGAGTGGACTGGGTATTGGTACCAATGCATTGGATGTTTAGCAGGTGATATAATAGTCAATACCTGCATATTATTTGCTTTTTATTACTGGGAGATTGTCTCTGGTGTAAACTCAGGGACCATCATCGGTAATCAGCGACGCATATTTCTAGGCAAAAGAGGGGTACGCAATGCATGTCGGTAAAAATGTTTTTGGACAAGAAAGTCATTTTGGGGTGTTGTTCTTACCCCCAGATATTTGTCAATCCCATTGTATTGGAAAAAATAGCGTATTATGTTCACTTATATCAATTAGGTAAATGTTCAATTCACAACGAAGAATTTTAAGTGGTGCGTTAGCAATTTTGTCTAGTGTAGAGACCATCCCCTTCTTTCTCTTTCCACGAGTTACCTAGATCAGTTTCAGACACCCTCCGCTTCAATAAGGTCGAATTTTTTATCAATCATTGTTCTTCTTTAAATAGATCGCATTGACAGCAATTTTTCTTCTTCTGTAATAAATCGTTTCAGACTTCCGTTGTCGAGTCTCTTTCTTGTAAACTATCCATGTACAGCCACGTAGCATCGTTTTTGAAAGTTGGGGGGGGGGGCAGCCAGAGAAAAAAAATACTTACCTGAAAAAATTGACAAAAGGAAAAGAAAAAAAAATTAAGTTGCCGAAAGCCGAAAATCCTACTTCTGGGATGGGGGTGGAGTAGGGGGGTGTAGAAGCCAATTTTTTTTCAATGCAGATTTCCATCAGTACCAATTTTTTTACCTACAATGCTACATTTTCCTTATTTCACAAACCCCTGCCCCCCCCCCTCCCGTTGCTACGTGCCTGATTATTCCTCAAATATTACCTCAAGGAATAGCCTAGAGGAAATCACATTTTGTGGGAAAGGGGTGGTTTTGACAAGGGACTTTCCTTATTCAATTTTCTTCAGAATCATGGCTTTTATACCTTGTTGTGCAAGAAATCCGTGTTTCACAAGGGAATGGGGTGTTTTCCAATATGATTTTTATGCCCCGCCATGAATATGGCAGGGGGATATAGTGTTTGTCATGTCCGTCTTCCGTCCTTCTGCCCTTCCGTCACACTTTGTTTTTAGCTCTGTTCAAAGCTAAGTTTCAAAGAAACTATCCAAGATATTTTCATCAAACTTCATATGCTGATAGATATTGATGAGAGCTATGCAACTGCATCAGCATTTTTTGTCCTTGACCTTTATTTTGACCTTGACCTCACTTTTCTTAAATTAGTGTTTAGCTTAGTTTTAAACATACCATTCAAGATGGTGTTATCAAACTTCACATGTTGATACAAACTTGCGCGGATGATGCATCTATAGGGATGAACACTACCAGACTTGCTTCAGATGCTGGATCTGACCTATATTTTCATTCCCAAGTAACTATAAGCCCTGTCTGATCCAAAATTGCATGGATGATGCATCTAGGGATGGACACTACCAGACTTGCTTCGGATGCTGGATCTGACCTACATTTTCATTCCCAAGTAACTATAAGCCCTATACCTGAACCTAACTTGCATGGATAATGCAGCTAGGGATGGACAATAACAGACTTGCTTCAGATGCTGGATCTGACCTTCATTTTTATTCCCAAGTAACTATAAGCCCTCCCTGAAACAAACTTACATGGATGATGCATCTAGGGATGGACACTACCAGACTTGCTTTGGATGCTGGAACTGACCTACATTTTATTCCCTAGTAACTATAAGCCCTACTTGAACCAAACTGATCAAATTTTATACACATACAAATTTTTTATGTTGCTTTCCTAATATATCCTCGGCGGGGCATTCATGTCCTATGGACATCTTTCTAGTTTTTATTTTGGAAAGATACAGTACTTTATAATGCTGAAAATGCAACCGGAGGGGGGGGGGGGACTCCGAGCCTTCTCAAGATTCAAGCATTATGATGAGGCGAATCTGAGGTAAATGTATAATTACATGTATAAAGTTGACCGCTAGTATATTTTACACTCTAGGCATTTGAACAAAACCGATATTACAGAATATCTGACAAAAATTAAGATATTAACCTTGTGTGCACAGTGCTCATATTGTCAACAAAACTACCGCTACATAACGAAAATATCAACTTTCCGCTATAATTTTTTTCAATAAGACTAATTGCCGACTACAAATCATTACCGCTACACGTGTCCCGGCCAGCAATGCCACTGTAAATAAGTTCTATTCATAATGTTTCGTTATAATGATAATAAAGTTTTTTGTAGCTTTTAATTGCCGTTCTACAATATGTCCTGTTTCATAGATCAAACAAACCTTCGACATCGAAAAAAAAATTGTCATATGAGCTTCTTAAAGGGCACAATTACTCGGTTAGGAAAGCAAGTTCATGGATAATATCGTGAATTTATTGATTAAGTAGACATATTTATCTTGTTTATTTTTTGTTTGTATTAGTTGTAATTAATGACTGTTGGGTATTCTCAAGTATGAATTGTGCAAAGTACAGTGGTAAATAAAGTTCGCAAATTCGGAAACGCGGAACGGTTCAAGACACATTACGCTATGACCCCCTCCCCCCAAAAAAACCATCAGGACTACCATCACGTACTAGTACATGTAGCTGGTGATAACTATATACATGTACTTGTAAAGTCTTACTACTTTTGAATAAAAGCATAACTTAAAAAGATGATTTAAAATACATAATTATGTATGATTTATGCTTTATCAGATCACCATCAAATGCACATATATTGAGGAAGGATTATAACGTTTTATTCGTACATTCTGAACCATGCAATCAATGAAATTCCCGACACTAGAATGGTTCATTCTTAATTTAAATGGATTTTATAAACTTGAAAGATAATTATAAACATATGTGGATTTCATCATGTATGATTTTGTTTGTGTTCACATGTTAAAACAGCTGTTGATATTATTCGTTTCCTACGTAAATACTGTGTAAAATCAGCGTAAAATAATGAATGCTAATGTTGCAGAATTTTCCTTTCCGGACTTACTATTTATAAAATCTGAATACTGTTCCCACGCATTAACCGACACGAATTTAATACTGGACGGAGATTTTTAACCAATTATTTTATACACAAAAAATAAAAGTGGTTAAAGCTTGGGAACATATTCAATTTCATCAACATTTACTGATTTTTCATGAAAAATGAACGGATTTCACTGAGCAACCGCTGTTTGGTGTGGTATTATGACGTCACTGTAACATATTACGTCATTTTTATATAAGTTGAGTTTAGCTTTGATCTTATTGTAAACGAAACATAAGGGACTTGCATAAGTAATGGTAGTTTAAAAATAGTAAAATTTCTCGGCCGCATATAGCTAATAACGTACTTTGTTCTTTATGTTTCACAAACACATCTTGTTCCTTATAAAGTTTGATTTAGGAGAGATAGACTTTTCATATTTTTAAAAATGTGCATTACCTGTGACAGACATTTAGAACCATGCTATAAATTATGACCTACACGATTGACCTTATTTTTCAAAGAAATCAACTTCGGGGATAATTACTAGATGGCAATGCTAGGGCTTTCATATTTGACACAATATGCCATAGAAAAAGCATCCCAAACCACAAAGACATCGAAATCGGGGGAAAACAATTCTTTGAATTTGCTTGTCATTTGTTGTTTTACACTGTTTGTACTGTCTCTTGTGCAATCCATTCATACATGTCAAAGAAAAATCCTTCTGCAAGAAACAAGTCAAATGATGTATGAAAATAGTGATTCTTGGACTTTCTGAAAACAAACGTTTGTAATATCTATAATATCGACTAATTTCCTCTAAAAGATTCATTCGTTTAAATGGCTTTTTTAAACATTTAATGATTTTTTTAAAAAACTTGACGTATTATCCTTGATCCTGTGTTGTTCACTTTTATTCAATGTTGTTTTTGATCCCATGAAGTCGAAATAATTTAAATTAAGTATTTATGTTTACAATTTTCAATTTTTTCTCCATTAATTATGAATTAATTAAGAGCATCTTGATTCATTGTGGCTAATGATGACAAGCACTTCTTTTATGCCTTTATTTTTCATAATCTTTGCTTGTAAGGGATATAAAACCTTACCAAATTAAGTACATATATTCACCACTCAAATAAAAGGTAAATATATTGAATATTGAACATATTTTAATCTAATCACAACACATTGGTAAGATAATTGTTGTCTCCCAGCGCTTTAATATGGTTTTCAAATAAAGTGCATTTTCGGATGAATAATGTTTTCCTCTAAATGTTATCCGTCAATTTGGAAAGCTTTCCTTTCACAGACATAATTTAGTTTAGCAAAACACTTGTTATCATTCCAGCCTCCCAAACTGACGTCAAGACAGTTTTCCACTTGATTGCTCGCCTGATTCGTCACCCTCCAGTTGGTATAGTTAAACACCTCGTCTGTTATCCACATCCAATTGCCTTCCTGTAAGAAGTCGTGTCCCCCGAGCCAAGTATACCCATGTGACATGTCTACTAAGGTTTTCCTTTCACGGTGTACGTAATCCAGTATGAACTGTTCTTCTTCAGAAGAATGAACTGTTGCAAGATGGCCGCCAAGGCGTTCACAAGCTTCTTCCGCATCTTGCCACGATTTTGGAACGACGCCAAAATAATAACAGTTATTCACAAACATTTGCCATCCGTCTGGACATCTTGGTCTCAAAGTTGTAGCGCATCCACAGGAAGATTTTACTTGTGTATTTAATTGTTGAATCACCTGGCGAAGTTGTGATAACTCTGCAATGAATTCATCCCTATCACCCGGATTTGCCAGAAAACCAGCAGAAAATCCGTAGAATGTGACAAGTAACGCCAAAACCAAAGGCATGGACATTTTAAACGCTCAAAGTATTCTAACAGTTTCAATTCTTTATCTCTAATTTTATATGTATGTGCAAACTTTATATTGGTAACGAAAAAATACAATCTTGAATCTCCATTTGCTTAACCTGAATTGTTTCATATCTAATGCATTTAATGTGCATTTTAATTTACACAACTAAAATAGCATCATGTTTCCTTTTACATTCAAGAAATTTTGAAACCAGATAATCCAGCTCACAAACCTTTTAGAATCACAGTTAGATTAAAATAGTTGTAATATTTTCCTTATACATGTTTTATAAGTCACGCACTAATGTGAACACTATTTTTTTATTCAAGGGTAATTAAATTTCAATACATTAAATCGGTATATTTATGCCCCCGTAAACGAAGTTTCAGTGATATATAGTTTTTGTTGTGTGTGTCCGTCTCTCTGTCAGTCTCTCTGTTGGCTTGCTGTCCAGCTGTCTCTCTGTCTGTCTCTTTGTCTGTTTGTCCGCAAAAACTTTAACCTTGCCCATAACGTTTGATTTAGTGGAGCTATGACTTTCATCATTCACATGTGTATTTCGTAGGTAACAATACCTTTCTTTTGGAACCATAATTTTGACCTTGAACTTGGGGTTTAACTCATTTCTACACACAAATTTTAAACGTTTACTTTGGCCATATCTTTTGATCAGTAGTTACCAGGACATTCATACTTTACCTTATGTATTGTTCGTTAAAAGTCCTTTCATAGGATCCCAACAACCTTGGTTTTTTTACCTTGACCTTGGAGATTTTCGAACTAAAAACTTTAACCTTGGCCATTACTTTTGAACGATGAGAAATAGGGCTTTCACACTTCAAATCTGTAATCTTTGTGAAAACACCTTTCAAAGAATACCAAGAACTTTGACTGTTAGACGTTGACCTTGGAGATCTACTTTTAAAATGCAAACATAATCATAACTTTAAAAGGCTTAGGGCTAATGCTTTTGTACTTTAAAAGTTTAATTCTTCTGAAAAGACCTTTCATTTGAAACCAAGACATTTGACCCATTGACTATGACCTTGGATTTTGACCTTCTTTTTAAAATTGTTAAACCTTGGCAATAATTTCTGAACGGTTAGGGCTAGAACTTTCATATTTAATATATGTATTTGACGTGACAAGATCTTTTATTGCATTTTAATTACATTGACCTTTTGACCTTGAAGATTTTGAGCTAACGGAAAAATTTTTCCTTTGGCATAACTTTTGAACGCTAAGGGCCTGTGTAATTCTTGTGAGAAAGTCCTGTATTGGATACTAAGAACTTTGACCTTTTGACCTTGACCTTGGACTTTTACCTAGGTTTACAAAGCAAACCTTGGCCATTACTTTTAAAGGGCTAGGGCTAGCGCTTTCATACTTTTCATATTTAATTTTTGTGAGAAGACCTTTCAGTTGATAGCAAGACCTTTGACCTTGACCTTGGAGTTTGACCTTCTTTTTAATTTTTTAACATCTGTCATTATTTCTGAACGGTTAGGGTTAAAGCTTCCATACTTTACATGTGTTTTTTTTTGTGGCAAGACCTTTCATTGGATACCAATGATCTTGACCTTGGAGATTTCCATACTTATGAAAAAACTTTAACCTTGGACTACTTTAAATTCATATTTCACAATTATATATCCAATTAGAATACACTACTTTTGGTACCAAGATATTAAATGTGCATTTAAGGGGGCCGACTATAGTTTTATTGTGTGAAAACTACAATAGCGAAACTCTTCATTTTTATACCATATATAACTTACATTAACTTCAGTGTACATGCAAAGTTTGGGGAAAATCTACCGTCCAGGTATTTTTAAGGGACCGTCTCAAAATACAGGTACATTTACTATAGGATTATATAGGAAAATGCCAATTTTAGCACTTTAAAGCAAATTATACAAATACTACAATAGATAGTTTGTTCAAACTATAAGATTTGATGAGTAATACTATATTATACAATATATGTAAGAAACACAAAATTCTACCGTCTTGTTACCAGAGGGGGCATCTCAAAATGCAAAAAAATAGCAAATTTTACTATTTTTATATAGAAAATATGACGTACACAATGGATTCACATGAAAACATAATAATAATATTGGAGATATTCTCAAATTTCTATGTTTTAAATTTCAAAAGCGTATGTTTATTACTTTTTCTTTAATAACATTTTTATAATCCTTTCTTTAAGAGCTTCAGATTATCATAACATCAAAAACACACTGCAACGACGTCAACCCACCTATCAATTGCAAAATTGGCTAAAATATCAGTTATATCAAATTGTAATTACATTTTTATACCTATAATTTCTTAATTTTGTTTAATTTTAATAATTAAGCGATAAAAGTTGCATTAAAACAGTAAAAACGCTTCATTTTACTATGATGCGCGAAATATTGCGCAATGGAAACTATAGTCGGCCCCCTTAAGAATTAAGTTAAATTTTTGTTTTGTTGCCATACGGACGCATCAGTGTTCCATAAACGCATTTTTTTTCATGTTATTCATATACCTTTTAAAGACAGGTGATATAAACTTTTATCAAATTTAAACAAACTAAATGTTAATTATGTTTATGGCATTAAAATGGATACGTTTAACATCATATATAATGTTTCACTTTCCATTCAAAATATAACGATAATGGGAAAACTGTATAAAACATTTGTATAGACTTATAAAGATGGCGACAGAAAGGTAGATTTTTAATACCATTTAAGGTAATAATTTCATAATATATGATAAAAATATTATTAAGTTACAGTTAAAAATATATAGTCTACCTATCAGAGCATCGATCCACTTTTAAAGAGTATCATCTTTCGTTAAAGTAGACTTAATTTTATAATGTATAACACATCACTCCTATAAAGTCAACATTGCTAAAATTCCTGATCAATACAAATACTTTATAAGCAGATACAGTACACTCCTTAGACGCTTGTGGAGACACGACACCCAACATTTTTCCGATTTTTAACCTAGTGGATAGTAGGAAATGTTTTATAGACTTATATCTATTACACGTTTTAATTATGTATAATTTACGAAAATTCAGAAAGAACGCAAAATTGTACTTCTACAAAAAATATCAACACTTTAAATTTTATGAAAGAAAGGTATATTATAGTAAATGTACTTTTTCTATATTAATGTAATGATTCATTGATGGGCACGTTAAATAAAAATACATATAGAGACAAACGCAAGGCTTGTAGCACGTGGGTTAGTGGAATCAGGAGCATGTAGATATAAGGAATAACTGTCGGATCTTTTGTTTTTATGACGATGATCAATCGATTGGATGGCGTTATAATTTTATGCAAATTAACACGTAAGTCACTTGATTGACCACATCTTGAATTAAAAAAAAAATAAGGTTACTAGTATTCCTTAAATCAATGTTGCTCTGGACGACAGAAATAATCGTCAGACAAGATAGCAAAGTAAAACGCTGCATGATGGATCATGTGAACAAGAATATATGAACGTTTCGTTAAAATTTAATAAGTTGTAATGAGAGAAATTGCGGATAAAAGATGGACAAGTTAAAATAGGAGCAGAGCAAACATGGAACTTAGATACATTAGACATCGGATCAGGTGCCAGGGAGGAGCGAGCATCCCCTGCCGACCTGTCATCCCCTACCACCGTGTGATCCTTATGTTAGAGTGAACTTCCAACCTACGGAATCTGTCTCCTAGCAGTACAGGAACAGCGCCTCAGACCGCTTCTCTATCCAGGCAAGTAAAAAAAAACTTGCTTTCGATGCTGATGGAATTCTAACAACCCCGCCTTACACTACACGGTCATAGAAAATAGAAGTAAGATGCCTTGATTTAATCCGAGACATTCCGAATAAATCGTTCATCTTGCTTTCACCGTTCGTTCAGCGTTCACCGTTTGCGCTCCGTTCGCGTTCTGCGATCACTCACCATTCTCCGTTCACACATCGTTCACCAAGTTGCGTTCAGTGTTCACACATCGTTCACTCACCGTTCGCTCTGCGTTCGTTCACCGTTCGTTCACCGTTCTTTCAGCGTTCGCTCACCGTTCAAGTAGAACGTTTCAGGGACTGTAATTATGAGCAGCAGAAACGAAAATATTTTCATACGCCACCATTCCCCCCAAAATATAGTCTCCCTGCTTATTTTCGAACACAATTTACAATTTCTATGAAAAGTTGTAAAATTGTGACGAGGAAAGAAAATATGGTCTTTTAAATCTCTAACACCTAAATATATGAAACATACAAGCAAATATACATTAAATATTTCATCTACTCAGAAACTAGAGAAGAATCCTACCTTAACTTATTTTACATTGTCGTACGAACGAAATAACTTTAACCCCTGGTAGTCATGTGTACATATTATATACCTAATGTGTATCACCCAATTTTACTGTTGAATTAACGCTATCACGTGACGTCGTGATCCGATTTTCCGGATCAGCAACATGTTGTTTTCTGAATCCATATCACCACTCTCTGAAAGTGATGACGTAGTACGCATAAATGTGACGTTATTTTTCTTGCGCGTTAAAAAGTCCCTTGTTATTATGCTTTGTTTTATGGATAAATGTTATGCAAATGATCTCTAAAGTTTTCTTGGTTATATTTTGCTTGTTATGAGGGGGTATATAATAAATTAAACATTATAACAGTAACTTGATCCGAAGAGCCGTATCACGTCTCGTTGACAGGCGCGGATAATCAGATCAAACTCGACGCTTCGCGTCTCGTTTGATCTGATGATCCGCGCCTGTCAACTCGACGTTATACGACCCTTCGGATCAACTTACTGTTATAATAATATATATTTATAAAGATAATATGTTACATATATATTATGTAGTTATCCGGATTTCTTTATAATATCATGAATAGACGGGCGTGCCAATAGTTGTCGTGCTTTTGATTGCTAAAACGAAAGAACCTAAATTTCATATACCTATGCAATTTCAATTTATTTAACAGTAAAAAAGAAAAGTCAATTCTACAT